TTCATTTTTCGAATTTCTAACTGATGTCGAGTCCCCGCGGGCTCTCGGAATTGTTTTCCTTCCGGTATTTCCTTTCTGCAATTAGGACTTAGGCTAGGAAGGCTAGGAATTTAGGTGCTCTGAATTATGTTGCGCAGCGTTCGCACGCATCTTGTGGCACGAGGAACTGGGTTCTGACTGGATCGCGCCTTCAATCTTGTGCAACTGTCGTTTTTGGCGAGCGCGATCGTAACTGTAATCCTTCTTCTTTCTTGGTTCTCCTATGTTGCCCGCCTTCTTCCTTCTCCCTTCTCGTCTCGCATACTCTTGTTCTGATTGGCCGAAGCGCCTGCATGACCGGATCGATGCGTGGAGAGTGGCTACGACCCCCACGCCGCGACCTGGCCATGCAAACGTAGACACTTCCTCTCTTCTCTTCTTGTCCATCTAAGCTTCATCCCGTACCTTTCGTGCAGGCATGCATGCTATAAATTTTGTGAGCGCGATTAATTTACTCTCTAAGAATTTCGAGGTTAGCGCGATCAGTGAGGGTCGACTAACACGCAAGTTGGAAGGTAAGTGAATGTGAGAGTTGGGCGATCCGACGAGCTGGTGCCAAGTATGCGGGGTTGACGTGTAGGCCACGATGGACTATGGGGCACGGGCGAACCTCACTGGCGTATGCGGGGTAAGCGGGGTGACAACTCTGTGTGGATACGAGGCGACGGACTGCCGGTATCGTGGGTAGTGATGCGAGGAGACAGACTACCCGCAGCAGGAGAGAAAGAGAGAGAGAGAGAGAACAGTGGTGTGGATGTGGGATAAGGCTTCCTTTTGTTGTTCTTTTCATTTCTCTTCTGTACATCTGTATAATTTTGAGTCTGATGTGGCCGATCTCTTTAATGCGGCCTTTTTCTTTCGAATTTCTCTTGTATATTGTCTCGACATGTATGCATGGAATGAATGTAGGATCTCTTTTTGTTAGCAGTCTTTCCGATCTGTTTTTACGATTCGTGTTGTCTCGGACCAGTGTTCGCCTGCATGAGATGTGTAATCAGGCCTGATGAGGAATGCTCACTTTGGATGTCTGAAGTCTAACTGTCGATCTTTGCGCAACATGTATGGCATGTAGTGGTTGGTAGGATAATTGCATCTATGGTTGAATGCGACTGGCATACGAAACCAATCAGTTGATCCTTACGTATGTGCATGCGTACGATCGCGATCTCTAGAAAACCGAGTCGCCACGTACGCACCCACCTGCGTAAGTTGGCCTTAACCTTGAGTAAAGATGTGGGGGATGCGGCTTGCTAAACCGACATGGTTGCGCGGTCTCCTTTCTATGCGTCCGACTACGAAACTTTGAGGGATCTCGAATATCGCAAGTACTGGGAAAGCGAACAACTCAGACGGCGGGGAAATTTAAGAAATCCGAAATTCGCTTGCCTAACAGAAAACGATCGATTATGCGCAAGAGATTTTCACTGCGCCCTAACTAGCGACCCCAAGTGTCCCGACTACCTGGAAACTTATAACACACAATATTTTATATCCCCCGGCTTCGCCGTCGTTACTACCAACTTCCCTCTCTTCCATATCCTTATCCCGCATCACCAACTCACAGTAGTACCGTGGAATTCCATAACTCGCTACTGGCCCAACCCGCCGTGCAAGGGTTGTCGGTATCATTGGGCACGCCGAGCTTCGGAGACTACCCGACAGACCCGAACCGAAGCTGAACGGCGATTGTACAACCTCCGCGTACGGTGTGACGAACCGATTTCTACATCGCGCGATTTTCTGCGCCGTTGCAATGAGGGGTCCTAAGCTGGGAAGGTTGGGCTAGTTTCAGGAGATTGGGATGGATGAGAAATTATCCTCGCTTCTTCATCTTTTGCGTCGATTCTTTTCGGATGGCTGAGTCCAAAACCAGGTGAGTCCCGAGGCGATCGATTGATTGATTGGCTGTGTCTGCGGCGCGCCGCGGTGCGCGCGATAAATAACTGTTGACGTCGCTTCTTTTGTTCGATTTTGGAATTTAGGCGCGGACATCGCGCGGGAATTTTTGCTTTGTTCTTTTTTATTTTTTTTTTTAATTCTTTTTCGAATATTGTCGAGCCCCGATGGCTCTCGGAATTTCGGACCTTCGTTTTGGAGCTTGTGCTTTTCGCTTTTGCGCATTAGATAGGAAATTAGAAATTTTGTAATTAGGATTTTCTTTTGCCGCGCAACGCTTTTTGCTTACGCGCTTCTTTATGTGGCTGCAACGGAACTCTAATTAGCTGGCGCCTTTAATCGGGTGTGTAACAGTAATTTTGGGCGGGCGCGGTTGTAACTGTATCTTTCTTCTTGTGCTTCGCCTTTCCCGCCAGTGCCGGACCCGTGAACGTGACCGGCACCGGTCACTTGAACGTGACCGGCCGTTCATTTGGTGTTTTTTTTGTGAATGACCGTTCACGGTGAACGGGAAGGAGTGGTGTTTTTTTTTTGTTTTTTTTTTTTTTTTTGGGCTCCCCGAGGGCCCCAGGTACATTCGCCTCAAGCCCCACAGCGTGGTGACATTGAAAAAAAACAAAAATCGAAATGACCTACAAAATAGCAAAAGAAAATGCTTATTTTGGCTGGTTGATTTTTTTTTTTTTTTTATAACTAAAAACAAATATTATTCGTGAAAATTTGGTTTTTAAAAAAACTATAGGGAGTTACCCTTTGATGTCCTTCACCCTTCTATAAAAAAAAAACATAACCCCCCAGCCAAAAAAAAAAAAATAAAAAAAATACCGCTCTCCGTGAAGTCCATGAACTCCCGTGTCATGAACTCCGTGAACTCTATGACCGGCTCCGTTCACAGACCCCGTGAACAGTGAACGGGGGTACGACACTGTTTCCCGCCCTTATTCTCCTTCTTTTGCTGCGTTTTGATAGTCGCGGTCTGCATGATCAGATTGATGCGTGGAGAGTGGCTACGTCCCCCACGCCGCGTTCTGGCCATGTAGACTTAGGCAATCCCCCCCCCTTCTCTCCTTCTGAGTCCTTGTAATTCCGTGTTCTTCCCGCATGCATGCACGCGTGTCGACCAAAAAAAAAAAAAATTTCGGCGGTGGTTGGGGGTTTGGGGAGGSGGTTATTCATTATGGGCTTTTGTTGCGTGTTGGGGTGGCAAATGGTGTGGGTTGGAAAAAGTAGGTCGGTGGGGACAGTTTGGGGGGCGCCCGTTTTCTCTCTGTGGGGCCCGTTACGGTGGGGCCCGTTTGGGTGGGGCCGACTTGGTGGGGTCCTTCTGCTGGTTATCTCATCCCATTTGGTGGGGCCCGTTTGGGTTGGTGGGGCCCGTTTGGGTGGGGCACGTTTGGTGGGGCGCGTTTGGGTGGGGCCCGTTCGGGTCGGGCCCGTTTGGGTGGGGCCCATTTGGCGGGGCCCGTTTCCCGGTTATCTCATCCCATTTGGTGGTGCTCGTTTGGGTTCGTGGTGCCTGTTTGGGTGGGGCCCGTTTGGGTGGCCCATTTGGTGGGGCCCATTTCGGCGGGTCCCGTTTGGTGGGGCGTGTTTCGTGGGGCCCATTTGGCCGGTGCTCGTTTGCAGTGTGGGCGGCCCGTTTGGTGGGGCCCGTTTGGTGGGGCCCGTTTGGTGGTGCTCGTTTTGTGGGGCCCGTTTGGTGGGGCCCGTTTGGTGGGGCCCGTTTGGTGGAGCCCGTTTGGGTGGGGCCGGTTTGTTGGTTATCTCATCCCCTCTATTGGCGGGGCCTGTCTGCTGGTTATACCATCCCCTATTTGGTGGGGCCCGTCTCATCCCATTTGGTGGTGCTCGTTTGCGGTGTGGGCGGTCCGTTAGGTGGGGCTCATTTGGTGCGGCCCGTTTGGTGGGGCCCATTTGTCGGGGCCCGTTTGGGTTCAAGTTCATTCATTTCTTTTCGCATGGTGGGGCCCGTCTGCTGGTTATCTCATCCCATTTGGTGGGGCCCGTTTGGGTTGGTGGGCCCCGTTTGGGTGGGGCCCGTTTGGTGGGGCCCA